AAAAACACGTTTACACAAGCCAATTTGGAGTGTAGCAAGCGCATAAAAAACAAATACGTGTAATTAAACCAAAATAATTAAATATTTAACCCAGACTTTGTTGCACTTGCGGATTGTTTCTCATTTTTAATTAATATCTAATTTAAACTAAATAAATATTTCTGTTATAATTAGTAGCATTAGTCGATGTAGGTCAAACAAAATAAATATTTAAATGTAACGTAATTAAATATATAGGAACTATTTTCCAAAATTAAATGCGAGAGGTTTAAAATTACATTTAATGAAGCAAATAAAAGATAATTTCAGTGATGAAAAGTAAACAAATAAGCATTTGAAATTGTACCAAAACTCTTAATTAATTAAATTGTTTTTATTACACTTTCATATATTTCTAATTTCAAATAAAACTTTTAAAATTAAATTAAATTGTAATTTGAAAAATTTTGAATACACTAAAATATTTAAATATAATTAAATTTAAACTTAAATTTAAATTGAACTTTTTATTAAAAGGATTTAGATTATTATACGTATGTTATTATAATATTTTTTGTGCTTCGAGAAAATTATTTGAATTAATATAAAAAATTTTACTAAAAATTATATCAATACTTGAAATTTGGCAAATTATTTTAAATGTATACCATATATAGAAATTAGAAATTGATTTTAATTTAACTTGACTTTTATATAAAAGTTTAGCATTACAAATCGTATTTGAAATTTGCAATTCATGGCGTATGAGTTACTAAACTAGTTGGAAATTTAAATATTAATTTATGCGTGGGAAAAACCTATTCGATAAATATGAATTTTTAGACTAAAACTCAAATAAAGGTGAAACCGCAAAAATTTTAATTAGTTTGTAAGCTAAAACATTGAAACCAAAGCTTTGGTATCAAAAAATTGATCATTTTTAAATTGAACCGATTATAAAACAAATTGATGCAATTTATTCAAATTTCTGTATGAAAACAAAAGTTAGAAACGGTTTCATATGTAAAATAGTGCAAGTATTTATGGAAAAATCCGTTTTGTTTACAAGAAATTTTTCTATTTAAGCTTCTATTATAAGTGGTCAATTAAAAGAAGAAAGTACAATACATTGGCGTTTTCAATTGGTAAATCTGGATTCAATCTAAACTCTTAATCTGTCAAATTTGGTGCGCAATCAAACATTTTTAGAGTAATCTAAAATCTTTGTAGATGTGTTAGTAGATATTTATATATTTCATTAACACATATATCGAATCAAATGACAATTTATTTGTTGTCACATAAAACAGCTGTTAATTTAGGGGTGATTTAAGAGTGTTATAAATTAATCTCCAGTGTTATACATCACTCTCGAATATTATACAGATTTACCCATCGAGAATGAAAATTGCACTAAAAATGAATCTCGATTATAAAATTTACCCAAGATTTACCAATTGAAAATGTGTGATAATGTACTAGTCTTTAATACATAAAAATGCTATGAGGTTATAATATATTGCTTTTAGAACCGTATCTAATGTATGTTCCGAAAGTAATTCGGAATCAGTTTTTTTGGAGGTAACATTTGCACACTGTCTTTGCTTAAATGAATATCAACTAAAACAGTAAACTGTATTTATAGCTAATAGTCTGTTCAAACTAAACCATTTGTTTACACCAAATGTTTTAAGATGTTTTAAACTATAAATGGTTAAATTAACCATATAAATGGTCAAATTAAAAAAATGAAGCTGCATTTTTCTTCGCTAGAACTGTTCCATGAAATATTTTATTTATTATAGATTTCATTATATAATTCATTTTATAATATTATTTGGCATCACAGGACTTAGCGTCAAGCTGAAATCTTTATAAATGCTACATTGAGTACCACTCATTAAACGTAATGCTTCACTTAGGTTAGGTTAGGTTATACCGGCGATCCACTTAGGCCTATTCGCCCATTGTGCTACCGTATATATAGTATATATGCTTCACTTAATGCCGGTCAGTTTTATAAAAAAAAAAACAAATGGTCGCATTATCTGGTCTTAGATTTAAATCTACTAAATAGTACAAGGCTAGTGAATACGACCATAGCTCTTTTCTTATTTCTTCTGATCCTACTCTAAGAAATATTATATCTCTATATCTCTGCCATTCTCAATTTCAATGTATTGCTTTTTCTACTTGTGATACCGACTAAACACTTGATAAAGAACGATCCAGAGATGATAATAACTCTTTTGATATGTGTCGCACTTTGATAAAGTAAATAAGTTATATATTTATTTTTTTATCTTATTCATAGTTATGATAACAGTCATTGGAAGGAATTCTTCGTGATCGGCATGCATAATGATAGGGGCTAATCTGTTGATTTAATCTCTTTTTTCTCTTTTGATCGTATCTTTTGATCATATAACCAATTAAACTGAAAGTATACAGAGATACAGAGAAATCATCAAAACAACTAAATAAAGACCAATCCAAATAAATGTTCTATGTGCTTTTTTAATAAACAGTAATTATTGTATTATATGATTATATCAGACATTATAATATAATAAATAATTATTTTTTAATAACTACCAACATATCTACTTTTGATACAATTTATTGCTTTATTCTACCTATGTAATATTACTACAGCGATAAGAGGTACACAATAAAACAGAAACTCTTTTATATAAATACAATCTTATTTTGTAATACTAACTCACACATAAAATAAAAATGTTTGTTCATTCAAATAAATAAATTAATAAAATAAAACTTGTTCAAACGTAAATCAAAAATTTCTAAACACTACGAGATCCTTTGAAAACTGTAGAAATTTTACCATGCAAATTTTTTTTCAGTGTAAATTTTATGCTAATGAAAAGCTTTTATCATTATATCTTTAACTTATTTTTTTTATTGTTTTTTATATTCAAGCAATCTAACAAAATTCAAAAACTACATTCATATGTACACATATATATATATATATATATATATAATATAATTTTGCAAATAAAATAATTTTTGCCTAACAATTCATTCATATAAAAATTACAACTACACTAACAAAAAAAAAGCACATGCCAAGAAACCGTTTAAAGTACCAACAACAACAAGCACAAACAGAATAATAGTAGCCACAATAAACGATATACATCGCCCAAGTAATATGGCAGGGTAATAAATACTCATAAAGCCACTTCAAAAGTTACAATAATCCTACCCATAACAGCTTTTTAAGTCAACCATACTCGTACACTCACACAAACACTTAACCAACATATGCACTCATGTCTAGCACACACATACATATATTGCATGGCACCTCAAAGTGAATGCTATCAACCCCCCTAACCACAACCAACATCAACAGTAAGTTAAGTGTGGCATAATATTGCAGACATTTGCCACACTTACTGGTAAGTTATGAAATTGGGGGGAATGGCAAAATATTCAAAAAAATAAAAAAAATAACAAGAAAGAAAATTAAAAGGAACAAAACATTGTATTTGTGCAAAAAAGAAAAAAACAAAAACAAAAAAAAATATGGGAAAAACCACCCGTTCTACTTACAAGTTAGTTTTTTAACTTAAGCGTAACAGTGAAAGTACTTAGTATTTTCTTGCTGACTTTCTTACTTACTTACAACTACAATCAGGGTTTTTAAACGTTCCATATACAAATTGAAATTATTACAACAACAATGAAGGCAACAACAATAGCAGCAAGTAATTGACGTTGCTTAAATAGTAAAGGCTTTCATACGAAAGCAACAAAGAAACGTATAGAAAAACCAGTAACAGCAGCAGCAGCAGAAACAACAACAACACGACAACAATAATAACACAAAGACTTGTAAAAGAGCGCCACTTGATGGCAAGTAATCAAAGCCTTTGCTAGTGTAAGTAACATGTAAGCAAAGCAAAATACTAGAAAATATTGAATAAAGCACTTGTTATTTCTTTCCTTTCTTTTTTCTTTATGCTATTGTATGTGGACTGTGTTGTTGTTGTTGCTGCTGTTGCTGTTGTTGCTGTTGCTGCTGCTACTGCTTTAATATCCTTACCACTACTTATTTCTTTTCTTACATAAAAGAAGTAGTACTGAAAGCATACGTTATAAAGTGGACGGACACATTCATGTCGAAGCACAATTTGGCAAACAGAAAAATAGTAAATAGTTTGTGAAAATAAGCAGCAAATAAGTGTGGAGAAAAAAAAAAATAAATAAACAGAAAATCGTTGCAAACAAACGCTTAAGAAATTATAAAATCGCAAATAAAATGGCAGTCGTTGTGCGGCAGCCATTGTGTACGCCATTTATTTTCATTTTCAACTCTTTTCCTTTATACTTCATACTTTACAATTGCACTTGATGGTTTTGCTGTGAAATAAACAAACAATTGTACTTTACATTAATGGAAAGTAAAAACAAAAATAACATAAATGTATTAAAGTTAAAATTTATAAAATACAAAAAATATAAAAAATAATAAAAATACAAATGAAAATGCAAATAAAAATAAAATAAGACGCAAACCAAAATACGTTAAAACACATTAAAAATTGTATACAAAAAGTATAAAAACTTAATTGCATTTAAATCGTCGACGCGTGATTTTATATTTTCCTCACACTTTTCGCATTTCTGTGAAATTTTTTTAAATCTGTGATTTTTTATCTGCATGAAACGAACTTAATACGCTTAATTCTTTTTAGTTTACCATATTGTGGCCTGAAAACACACAACTTACATACATAATGAGTTTAAAATAATTCGCTTTAAATACTTTTTTCAACGACTAAGTGACTAAGTAACACACCAAAAACTAAGAGAAATTAACTTATTAAAAGTGTAATTAAATTTAAACGCTTTCAATTAACTTACTTTAAGCGGAAATTTGTTTTTTGTTTGTTGTTTGTTTTTTTTCTGTAAACTTCTACTTTAAAAGTGCAGTTCATAGTTTGTTTGAGTGAAAAGTTTTTAAACGTACTCAATTTATAGTCCCGTGTGTCCAGCATAATAGAGACATTAAAACAAAGTTTAAATGTACGACGACAGCGACGAAAGTTCGCCTTTTGTGATGCTTTCATCGCCCACAAAATCATGGGTCAGTGTAAACAACAAACTATACTTTAACAACTTTACTACAATATATGAAATTATTTTATTTTTCATTTTTGTCGAAGTATCTCCAAAAATTACTATAGAATTTTTAAAGTTTTAAATATTTATTCTCTGTAAGCACATTCCACATTCCCCATTCATGGCAACTCTGATTTAAAAATATTTGCATAAACCATATACGTACAGCACGCCATCCGTATACGTAACAGTGCAGACATGTAATTGTGTGAGTAATTACAGGCGTGTCATATTTGTCGTTTTTAAGTGTGTATTTGACACGATCGTAAATAGGAAAAGCATAAAATTCATTTAATTTTGTAATATTGTAAATTCATTTAATATTGTTAAAATAATAAAAAAATTATTTAAAAGTATGTCGTAGTCATAATGAAAAATCACTCATATGCACTGTATTCCATTGATACTTTAATCAAGCTTATTGTTAAAAAACAATTAATATGTATAGTCGTAACACATATGAGAAGTAAATTTATTATTTACATATATTCATGCAAATGATGGACAAAATCAATTTCATGAAATCAAATTATGACATTATTTAATATTCCAATAGTCTCTTAATTGTTTTTAAAGAATTAATTATTATAGTGAGTAAGTGAATAAAAGGAAATTAAATCAAATTTAGAATATCGAAGCGATTGATATTACTTTAATGATTCTTTTTAATGTTTATTTTTTCTTGCCGAGAGTGACGTATCTTATAACGCAAAAAAAAATATTTAAAAGTTAGAAGGGTTTGAATGGAAATGAAAAGACAACAACTAAAATTTTAATTAATTTATTCAAATTTAACTGACCATACAACACTGTTTTGAGTATTACCAAGTATAGGAAATACTCGAATTTTCTTTTAATTAGTTTGTAGTCCCGTACATAATTTGTTTGGATTGCAAGTGCCAGGCTTAGAACCTGTCAAATTATAATTCTTTTTAATTATATGCGTAATGTATTTAATATAATTAAACTAAAATACATATTAAAAGATGTACGGACCTATGTTGTGCACTTGACAGATTTGTCAAATTCTTTAATAAAATTTTTCATTTTTATAAAGCAGAAAGCTTTTTGGTATTCTGGACACATCTTGACACATTTCAAACCTCAAGTACTTAGTGCTACTCACCACACTATGGTGTAAAGTGTTTTGTATAGAAAACAGTTCGTAATTGTTCGTAACTGTTCGTAACTGTTCGTAAAAAATGCTTGTAAAGAGCACATATTTTAAGTTGCCAAATGGATTTTTCATGCATTCAAATAACAATAAAAAATATGCTTGTAAAGAGCGTATATTTTAGTAAAGAATATTTGTCATGCATGCAAAAAATAAAAAATGCTTAAAAAGAGCATATTTTTATACCATAGTTGTCAACAGCATTTGTAGTATTGACAACTAACAAGGAAAAGAGCTTTTTATTTATGTCACAGAATACCAAACCCTTTACAGCAGTCAATTTTGACAAGTGTCAATGTTTGACAAGTTTATAAACTGCACAGAGTAGGTCCGGTAATATATATATAAAAACCATATATAACATATATAGAAAAAAATCATTTTAACATACAGTTAACAAAGAGCTTTCAGCACTAAAGTAACTACTATAGAAATTCAGCAATAAAAAAACAACAAAACAAAAATTTAATAATTAAACATAATTCTCTTCAATTGTATGCTTTATACATTTAATATAATTAAACTGAAACAGATATCAAAACATGTGATAAAAAAGCACAATTGCAGCATACTTATATATAAAAAAAAATTTATTTTAAACTTTCAGCACTAAAGTAATGTTTTCGAACTATTATAGAAATATAACTTGGTCTAATTTAGTTCAAGAAACGAACTAGTCAGCTACTTCAACTAAGGTGAAACCTGCTTAGCACTACGGTATCTGCGCTGACGGGACATTTCGAAATAGGAAGGCATGCTATGAGACTGAGTCTATCCTATAATGATTTTTGTTGAGGTTGTGGCTCTGAGGATAAGGAGGAGGTCGTGCCTCATCTTATGTGTCAGTGTCCTTCTTTAGCTAGAAGAAGATTAAAAATCTTCGGATCTCCTTTTCTCACCGATCTGACTGAGCTGTCATCCTGTAATGTTAGGGACCTGGCCAAGTTTATAAAACTATCAGGTTGGTTTTCCTTTTACCTAATGGGAGAGATGTTACCTTTTTCGGCGTTGACTGTATGCTGATTTAAGTCTATGTACGTACCAATGCTATATCTGTGGTATCACAATGGGCCATCATTTGTACTCAAATGGGCTTTTTGGAAACAGTGCCGCCATTTTCCTATAATAATATATAAAAATATTTGATTTGATCTAATTTTTTATGGATTCAGGGGGACTTTTAAAAGTTTTTCGCAGTAGGGGTACTTATTAAAGCAACAATCTTTCGCCATGTCCTTTAATACTATCACAAATAGTAATTAGAATAGTAACTTTTTATTGCTATCCGAACTTCTAAATTTTCATACAAAATATCTGTTAAGTAAATTCCATCTATTTGTTTTGTCATAAATTACTCATATATAAACATATTTATTTCATCACAGAAGAAAATATTCAATAATTACCTAAAATTGTGCAGGGTCAAAAGCTCTTTTGATGTATTGAGGTTTGGTTTTTTTAGACATCGTAGATATATTGCCCTTTTGAAACTTGAGAGGTCTCTCTTTTAGCCAATATTCTATTTCTGCTGCATAACTGTTTCTATTATCTCAATTAAGTAGTTGTGATAATGTCGAGAATAAAAGTTTGGCCTACATAAACTACATTTAATTTGAAGCTTTTCTTCCTGAGAGGCAGTTTTTTTCGACCACACCCATAGTTTTTGGTAATATTTCTATCTTCATTATAAGAATGGTTCAAATCTTTCAAGACTCTAACGATCACGGCTTTTGATTTTCCATTCACGCTATTATGATTAAGTCCTATTATCAATTCAGCTCAAAAAAAAATTGAAATAGGAAACAGAAATATCAACACAGGTCTTTAAATAATAGAATTAGCCATCAATCAGTGATGCAAGCCTGCCGCAAGTTAATTAAAAATTAATTGTAGTATTCTACTGGGCAACCCTATGTATGAAATATTATTTAAAATTATATACAGCAGTTAATATAAAAATGCAATTAACATTTTTATCTAAGATGTATTGAAAGATAAAATGGCGAGCTACAAGATTTATAGCAAGCTCTAGAAGCAAGACATATTCTGAAATATAAAAAGAAATAGAAAAAGAAAATAAATTTAATTGTGTTCCTTAATTTAACACTTGTTTTTATAAAAGTGCAGTTTATATGTTTAATTTGAACCTATTTTAGTATTGTTTAATAAGCCATTACTTACACCAATGTAGGTATTCTATTCTAACAGTATATTGTTTAAAATTATTGTTTATTATCTAAATCCAGAAGACACCTTTTATTAAAATAGTTTTATTGCTAGTTCAAAAGACACACCTTTCTATTAAGCTTAATTAAAATGATGAATCCAATTACCTATATATTCAAAATATATCTATAATTTACCATAGTAGAAATTATGTTAAATTTCGGTAACATTTGAGTATTGAAGTTTACCAAAATTACCACAATTATAATCATTTAGAGGTAGACTTAAAGACAATGAAGTAATTTAAAGGTTTACGTTGGTGAAATTATAATATATATACTGTATACATATATCCATGGCACATGATGCGTGTCTTTTTATTATCAACAGATGTTCTGTTGGACTTAATATAATTGCTAAAGAAATTAACTGCCATTTTTCGGATTATTTATTTTGGGGAAAAAATACGTAGTTATGTATATAACATTTGAATACATAATTAAAGAAAGTTGAAATAAAAGTTCATAAATAATAGCACATTGTGCATTGAGTATGGCATTCTAATTGTACTCATTTTTATTCCGAAATAAAGGTTAGTTCATGCATTTAAGTCGAAAAATCGCATACTATTACATATACTTCTTTAATCATAAAAGAAATAAATTCTATATACAATATATACAGAAAATTGTTAACTTCTGTTATCTTTTAATTTTTTGAATAAATCATTAGCAAATAATAATTGAATAACACTGAACTTTACTGATATTGAAGGATCGCAAATTATACATATATTTATTAAATCATGGGTAGCGTTAGGGATGGGGTATACTCTACATATATGTATAGTGAATTATTAAATTTAATTTTGATGCAAAATTGTTACTTCAAAAACTTGTCATAATATTGTAACCGATACAATAGATACAATAGTTCGCTGATGTAACGAAATCGCCACAGAATTGATTTGAACTTAATTTTTTCATTGATGACAGTGTCCTAAGGGCTTATGGTGTTAAGACTGCCACTGGATTTGAATTGAAACATATTATTAATTTGGATTCTTTGTACATATATAGCTGCCAAATTTATTTAACTTTATACTAGCATACTCTGACTTTAGTCGAAATTCTTCGATCATGTTTATTATATAGATAAATAATATGGCGGTATGTTGTTGGTTTACCGTTTCTGTCTTAGTTGTTATTCTGGGAATTGGGACATACAAAAAATTTCCGTCTTAAAATTTTATTATGATCTTATCTATATTATTTATATTATATTAAATTGTATATAAAACAAATAAAAAAAAATAAAATATGATCTTGGATACATTGATGAAGTGGTGGTGTCCCTTAAGGCAGTGATAAGTAGAACTCATTTTCTTGATATTGCTGCGGCAGTTGGAATCGGCAACCTTACCGGAGCTTAAGAAAAATCACAGATTTTATATGGAGTAGCAGGCGTACTATCTGCATGATCATGGGATTTGAGTGGCATCGACTCAATATTTTTCCAATGTATTACTAAGAAAACTTCTATATTGTTTAAAGTAATTTCTTAAAAGTGATTTCGTTAAAATATTTTTAAAATTTATAATTCATGGATTTGCTAGCAATATCACATAGAGTCTAGATTTTGTAATCCTACATAAATTGTGGGATTATGTTGCAAAGCCAGTGCCAAGATAATAAAACTGCTATGATCTTAAAATGTATTTTTTAATTAAGAATTTTATGCCTATAACAAAAAATCGACCCACTGTGTTTTTATCTCCTGCTTTTGCAATTATACATATTTGAGTGTTCTGTAATGACACTGAGCTATAGTGGTGCAAGATTTTCTGCTTTTCGAAAATTAGCGAACACCATACCCACCTCAAATATTTTCTTTAGACTGTTTTCTGTCTCTGAAGCTTGATTTAGTAGTTAAAAAGAGGCTTTCGAGCACAAAAAAAAATTCCCTAGAAATTTTGAAGGTCATACTTAAATTAGCATATGAGAAATGTATGAAGAACAGGATCAAGTGCTTGCATGATTATATTATACTCGATATTGCCTACTTTAAAGGCGCCATTTTTGTTTTAATTAATTATTCCCAGCTCTTTTTACACAGAGTTTAAGTGAATATTATTACACATGATTAATATATGGAATATATTTTATTTGTGACATCTCATTATTTGAGCTTAAGTGGTCAGGGGCTGTCACTACAACTTAACCCAATATATTGTAATATTGTCTAATCAGAATAAATATTTATCTATTTAAATATTTCATTTATATGTTAATAAAAACATTAAATCAGAATTCTTAAAAATCTATGTTAAATTAATATATGTATATGATATGTATCTTCTACAAACTTTTGTACATGCATTCCACTGTTGATTATTGATAAAAAAAATGCTGAATTCTTTTCAAGTTTTTATTTTATTTGCTTTGGTATATCTGCAATTTTTATTGTGTTTCTCACTCTTTCGCTTCCTCTATGCGCAATTTGTGGAGCTGCAATTTTATGGTTCATTTATTCTACAAATGTTATAAAACCACCGGAACGTATGCAGCATGTGATGCATTATCGTGGAGAAGGCTTCTTGAGACAATGCATGATTTGCACTCGAACCTTCTGTGATGCATGCAGCAGCACAATAAGTCTTGTGTGCAACAGTCACAGAAGATACGAGTAGAGGCCTTAATAGAAAGTGCAAGCGTTGCTTATCCAGAATGCTTATTTATCACAGTTGTGAGCATTAGTTTTCTCTATGACAAATATGCAAGCATAAAGAATTTACGATATGCATGAGGAGTACTTTGATTAAATTGAAAGATGAGAAGTTGATTGATAATATAGCGAGTCTGGCATATTCATGATATTCATGATATGCATTGAGGGCATATAATTTTTTAATCCGCAATCATATATGTGCTCGTGTATAAAATAAACCTTTTTTCATTAAAAATAACTTTGATATATCACAACTTTTGTGGTTATGTATAAAGTCAAAGTGTCATATTTCATATATTTTTGTTAAATTGAACACTTCTCGTATAAAAATCAAAGCGACAAACTTCATTATAAAAGAGCATAAATTAAAATGAAAAACTTTAGGAAAAAACATGAGATTTCTATTTAAATTGTAATAAATGACTAAAAAGCAAATAGCATTTTCATGTTCTGCTATTCGATGTAGCAGTCCTTTTTTGTCAATTATTTATGACAACTGAGATATACACTCATACAAAAAGGATTAAGTCATTTCACACAATTCAAAATACTGCAAAGCTTATGCCACAAAACATAGCGTTTTACCAACCCAAAAAAAAAAAAAAGGATTTGTAAAAGGAAAAAAATAATAGAGAAAAATGTGTCAAAAAATATTTAAAACGTATCGAAAAATCCTTGATTCCAAGCTCAACACACGACGAGTGCTCCATACGGAGAAGTACACAACCCGCACAATTCCCATCGCACGGTTCCGACCAATTCTGCGTAAGGCAAAGTTCGAAACAATTTACATTTTTGTGGCATAACATTCGATTTAATTTCATTTTCGGACACACAAATACAAACACAGAATTTTCCAAAAAAAGAGGAAAATTTAAGAAAAATTCGCAAAAAAAATAAACAAACAAATAAATGCGAAAATTTTACCGAAAATACATTTGTGAATGCGTGCAGCAAAACAATTTAATTAATTCCAGATTTGCGCGAAATTTTTCATTTGTTTTCCGCTCACATACCCACCATGACGTTATGTGAAGGCGTATAGAGCGTATATAGCGTATATAGCCAGTCACACAGATATCCACAAGGGCATAAGGCCACAAACATAAGCCGTGCTTACTCACTAACCCTCACTTATGGGAAGAAATGGGTGTATTACCGCCCGTTAAAACCCACATTTATATGCTATTTATTTTTATCCTTTTTTTTATCAAATTTTATTTTCTTTTTTTTTCTGTATTTTGTAAATTTTTTTCTCGAAGTTGATTTTTGAATTTTTTTTCTCTTCTTAAAACAGCCTGCCAGTTACGGCAAGAAAAACGGCATGTGGTATGCATCGCCTGGCAATCAGGGTTGGGGCTCAAAACCCGTCAGTCGTAAGCCTTCAATAATGGAAGCGGATTTGGGCACATTATCGACCACATCAGGTTCGATAAAACGTAGTGCCGGACGTGTGATACGCATTATTAATAATTTGGACCATTCCGTGCAGGTAAGTTATGAAATTATTTAAAAACGGATTGAATTGATTTTTTTAAATTGTTTAAAGGATAATTTCAAGCATAAAAATATTCGAAAAATATTCACGTCAAATTTTTATTCATAGAATTTTATTGTTTCAATTTTCCTTTCGGCCACAGCAAAAGTTTTTATTCCAAAAACAAAAAAATTTAACAACAGAAAATATTTTCCTTTAATACAGAAATTTTTATTTTTTCGTACTAAAATTATTGAAATAAGAAAATATTTAAATTCATTTCTGAAGGAATTATTTTCGTATTTATTGTGTAATTTATTTTAATAAAATTTATATTAAAAATGTAATTAAATAATTTAGTATCGTAACAGCAAGATATCTATGCGAATACTTACATGATTTTTTAATCTATAATAAAAATTTCATAAACTATAACAAATAAAATAATAAAATCCTGAATAAATAATGGCTCCACATTATTGAATTATTCTACAGCTGGTTTATGATTTCGTTCCAATATAACACATCAAATGAACTTTTTAATTAACTTTCACAGCAAATTAACAAAATTCCAAATTCGAATACACAAGTCAACTACGGCTTTGGGTCAGTTGGTTAATGAACACTGACTCTGAGCTTCAAATTGGTCAGGGCACAAATTTAACACTTGATACTTACAGTCTCAAAAAATTATTTACGAATATAAGAAATAATTCCAAGAGTACTAATGCAGGGTATTTGACAAGTCTCAAAACAGTTGTGTAGTCAACCAAAAATTTAATTAATTAATAAAATAATAAGATTTTATTGTTGTAATTTGCTACTGTTCGACATACGTCTCTATTAAAAACAATAGTTTATATTAAGAATTTGGTTTCTTTCGTCAAAACTAACGTTAAAAATAAATTTAATAAACTACTACAAGAAATCTTTCTTCGAAGTGATAAGGGGTTGATAATAAGGATATTTTTAATTTGTGAAGATTAATTTTTAATCAAGTGAATTATTGTGTTGACCTATTTCTATATCGCAAATTACTGTCTTCACTGGTCTTACTGTCTTTTTGGAGAAGACGTCCAAAATATATGAAAAATTGTTGATTTTAATGTAAAAAAAACTCTCAAGAAAAATTTCCAAATGTACAAGACCCCCTTTGCCGTGTTTTAAAACTTCAAATAATGATTAAATACTATTTGTTATGTTATATATGAATAGACTATCTCATCAAAAAGAAAAGCGCTTCTGGTTATAGCGTCGGAGTCGCTTTTATTAATATATATTTGTACGAAGTATAATTATTTGTAGAACTTTTCTCTCAAACATGGTTAGAATGTCAGAGAAGTTCTTGCTAAGCGCCCGAATCCCAAATCTATACGTAACTAGATGAAGATCTGTACGAATCTAACTTGTACAACTTTTGTCGTATACAGCAGTAAGTTGGATATTATGATACGTTTTATGGACTTAAATAGCCTTGATAGACTTTAGTACTTGACTTAATATTGAAATACAAAATTTCAAGGAGTATCACTATATGATATAAAATTGATGGTCCTTTTATTTATATTCTTTAATAACCCTCAGGTTCAATTATATTGTTAACTGTTTATATTATATACTCTTATTATTTTAACAAGAGAAAATTATATGGGAGGGCTGGCAAATCTCTAATGTAACCTTCTATATATACTTTACTTTTTTAGTAACAGTAACACTTTATAACGTTTTTACTTCTATCATGCTTAGTATAAATTAGAACATGGGTGTTTAGGTAATCCACATAACCAATAATATTGCTAACTACTTGCATTATATACTATTATTATTTTAAATAGAAAAATATATGTGGGAGTGATGACAAATCTCTACTGTAACCTTATAGACACATACCTTACTTTTTTAGTTACAAAAAATTTCTATTATATTATCGTTTAAACTTTAATATAACTTTATTGCTTCTATCATGCTTAGCATAAATTAGAACATAGGTCTTTAGGTAATTCACATAACCAATAATATTGCTAACTACTTGCATTATATACTATTATTATTTTAAATAGAAAAATATATGTGGGAGTGATGACAAATCTCTACATACCTTACTTTTTTAGTAGCAGAAAATTTCTATTATATTATCGTTTAAACTTTAATATAACTTTATTGCTATCATGCTTTGTATAAATTAGAAGATTGTTCTTCAGGTTAAAAAACATGAAGTTTGAAAATTACTTTACTAATTACACGTATTACTGCCACACTAAAAACTGACAAAGTTCAAGGAAGTAAATTTTCTTTGACATTCAGTGGGAAATTAAAACATCTTCTTTTAAGAATATTCTGCAAAGAAATATCGAAACTCCTTTCTTTAAAGTGCAAATAACCTTTGCTCATTTCAAAGGATATCACGCCAGTAAGCAGAAACAACAATAACACGTACGTTAAATCAATTGACTGCAATTTGAAAAGTGCAAAACGAAAAGAACATCCGAAAAGTAAGGATAACGAAAAATTGAACTAAGTCACGGACAAATTTGTTATTTTTCCAAAACAATAACAAAGGCAATAATATATATATTCATATATATGAATATGACGTATTTGTATGAAATGCACGAAGGTGTGAACGGATGCTCTAAAAACACTTACAAGAAAATTTCTAACACTTCTCGAATTATTTATTGTTTTTTTTTATAATAAAAATATGGAAACTAAAATATTTGCTAGTTTGGCATGCAAAGAATCTACTATACTTTGCTTTACGAAGAGTAGTCATAACTCATAACTGATAATTTAAATAAATAGCTGCATATAAAGCTATACTAAGAGATATATATATAGCTGCAACTAAGTTGACTGTAAAGATATGTACTCGTGGCTGTAAACTGAATAATATTTCTGAATACATTCGTTATATGTACCATAAGTGCTGCTAAAATACGACGAATACTCAAAAGCAAATTCATGACTCCTCACAAAGGTGATAACATTTTTATTAGAAAATATTGTGTGCTTTTAGGCGAAACTCATAAGTGCGCTCATACATCAGTGTGCACATCAGTGTGTAAATAGTCTTTGTGTGTGTTTGAAACTCTTTCTAACACCTGTTGATGTGTACACTGTACAGTTTTCATATATCAAAAAAAGTTCAATATTTAAACTTCAATGCTTTTATTGATTGAAATATACTTGCCTAACAATTTTATTGCCAAACTATATAATATTTTTCAATTTAATTGAGTTTGATTGCAACTGTGTGGAACTAATGCCATATGTGTACACAGTTTCACACTTACAATTTTGCCTTCAGGTTGTAATTTTTTCCACTTAACTAATTTGACTAATTTTTTTCTCTTCAATTTTCCTATAATATTGCCAATATGCAGACGAACTGTATTTAAATTACAAAAAAAACGAATATGCATATGCAAATTACAACAACTACAACAACGACGACAAAAATGCATGGCATAAGTTTGTTATGCACTGACCAAGGCCAAGGACATTTGATGCAGTGCATGCAATACAGGACATATTGTGCAATGATTTCTGTTGGTACTTTGCTTGTGTGTTGGTGAAATAATGCACACCAACACACAATATTGAAAGAAAAAAATCGTGCATTCATTTTGTTACTTTGCTTCATTTAACTTTATTCTTTTATCGACTTTCAATACAGTTGATATCTTTTGTTTTATTGCCATTTTGGTAAAACTTTTTTGGCAGCCATTGCAATAAAATACTACAAAATGGAGAAGAAGCTTGAGTATTTCACAAAACGTGACGTAATTTTGACAACAAAGTATTTTTGCTGTCCCTTAGTTACTACAATATATTCACCCTTCACCCCATGGCTTTCACATACTCCACATCTCAACTAATTCATTCTTATAGAATATTGCATGAATCGTATTGAGCCGCTCCTTATCTACTACTTGCAACTGTTTTCAGCTTTTAGATTTCTACTGATTTTGTTGTTGTTGTTGTTGTTGTTGTTTGTTTTTGTATGAGAAATATTTTATTTATTGCAATTCCTTGTTCATGGTAAAAATATTTGAAATATTTGCATGTATCGGTTGAGTTAAACATTCTTTTAGTTTTGCTGAAATTGTTATATCCTTTCGGTTTTGACGTCATCACATACCAAGTTTACTGATTGATAGTCTTTAAATTCAAATAGTTTCATATTTACACTTGGTAGGTGTTGAGATTTTAATTCGGACGTGGGTGTAATTGACTTTTATGTTATAAAGTGAGGACAGTGTGAGTTTTATTTCAATCACGTGACTTTGCAGATTCATTTCAATTTTCCAATTTGGATAATGGAAATTGAATGAAAAATTTTATTTAATTTATTGAAAAATAAAAATTTTTTAAAAGGCAATTTAAAGAAAAATTAAAAAGTTATTATGCTCTACATATACGATGGCAGTTTCATAAATTTGTAATAAATAACTACATTATTTCATTATTACATTATTTACATTATTACATTATTTATATTGAGTTAGTCAATAATTTTTGCCTATAAGAAGTAAAATTTGGCTGACCATACAACGTTGTTTCGAGTATTGTCAAGTACTCATCATCAGTGGTCTTAGGAAATAATCGAATTTTTAATTAGTTTATAGTCCATATATAATTTGTTTGGATTGGAAGTAGCAGGCTTAGAATATATTTTAAATATAAATAACAAATTATAGTTTTTTTAATTTTTATTTAAATGACCAAATAGCTTATAAGTTATTATATAATATTTTTGGTCAAAAAAAAGAATATATTAATTTCATTTATGATTTTAAAAATAATTCTAAAATAAATATTAAATAATGCCATCAGAAATATTTCAGTTCACTGAAATAAAATTAAAAATATATTTACGGACTATAAACTAATTAAATAAAATTCGATTATTTCCTAAGACCACTGATGAAAAGTACTTGGCAATACTCGAAACAGTGTTGTATGGTCAGCCAAATTTCAATAAAAATTAAAATTACGGCACCACTATCATCGCTCAGGCACCATATTTGCCAGATCTGGATCCGTGCGATTTTTTCCTGTTCCCGAAACTCAAATTGCCTCTTCGTGGTAAGCGTTTTGCATCGATTGAATCGGTAAAAGAGAATTCGCTGAAGGAACTAAAAGCCATACCTTCACGGGCCTACGAAAAGTGTATGGAAGATTGGGTTAAGTGTTGACATATGTGTATCGCTTCAGAAGGAGCATATTTTGAAGGAGATAAAATAAATTTGGAATAAAATTTAAATTTGTGTGTAGCTTTTCAGCAACACTAGTACTTTATTCCTAAATTAAAAATATGAAATAAAAAATAAATAAAATTGTATGATAAATCTAAAACAAAAATAAAAAATCAAAATTTTTGATGTATATTTAAAAAAAAATTACGTGCTATTATATTTTATTGTAGATTTCTATCATTTATAGAGCTTCAGATGTGACCATTTAAAAATTAATCTAAAATATAAATCATGTAAACCTTATATTATATTTCCTTATATTTTTATTTAACAAAGGGTCTCCTAAAAAAAATTTTTAACAAATAGCAGGTGATAATTTTAAAAACCGTTCTGCTGGTAAAAGAATGACCCATATGCAGTTTCTAGTTAAACATTTTTTCCAGTTGTCCTGGCGTAAGCCATAAAATTAGTTAAGCACAACAGCTAACATAGTTTTAAACAGGTTTTAAAATATTGTTATATACTCTGAAAATTTAAGGGTCAATTTTACAACAAACACTTAAATTTATTAATCGCTAATTGTCGCTCCGATGTAAATATCGTAATCTTCTTAAACAACCAAACCAGCTACATCCTTAACAATTCGATAATGCTTTTTATCAATAAGCTAGGTAGGCGTGTCATTCTCCATATGGGTACCTGGCAATCAAACAAAAATATCTGAGTCTAGCTAAATAAACTTGCGCTGACAAACACATAACCCTCTTATAATGGAAGTTCGGACAATAAAACTAACCAGGTTTACTGATATTAGTTGGTTAGTTTAGCTAATGACTCGATCCATTAGTCCATTATTTATCAAAACAGCATGGTAAAATCCAGTTCGTGGATAGAAGAGAGAAGAAAAGAGAGCGTAGTTCTATTAAAAGGAGTGATTATGGCTTCTATTTATTTATTTATTTTATGCATACGGTGTAATTATAATTAAGTACTTCGAAAATGTTATAACAATAACAGTGCAATAACGATACGATGTTTCTAGACCGCATAAGTGCTGAAACAAAGGAAATGGGATGATATTTTATTTCTTATAGTGCAATAACAATGCAATGCTCAATTGTCAGAAATTAAAAGAACACAATTTTTCATGTTTTATACCTAACCTCCTTTAATCTGATCTATATCTAATCTATCTAAACTACCTTGGTGATCTCCATTATATCCAATCATGATATTGGCACAGTTCTACATATGCAACTACCTTCGGGACCTCCATTGAATTCATTTTTAACAAATTTCCAATAATAACTTTAAGGTACTATAAACTGACTATTAAGTGACTATAAGTGATTTAATGATTTAGTCGCCTACAACTCATTAATGAGTCTTAAAGGATTTAAAATGCTACTACAGTTGAGCAACAAGTTATAAGTGAAGGTGCATTTTTTATAAATGTTGGCTCTAAGCCTGGAAAAAAAACGTTAAACACAAAAAGTCTGGCGCAACGCATATATTATATCTGAACTATGAACTTTTTGTTCTATTATTCACTATTAATTAAAAAGTTTACATTTCATTCAGAATTTCATTATGTACAGAATAAAATAAAACTTTTTTCGCACTTTTTTGCCAATGTTTTGGCAAGTGAGCCCCATACACACATTATGCTGAAGGTCACACTAATTGCACCAGTTTCAGTTAATGTATAAGCCAAACTAATGTTGGTCCTGTGTTTGCTGGTCCTCTTTTATATATCTCATAGGCATAACAAAAAGTGCTTGGTGAAAAAAAAATATCAGAGAGGAAAAAATAAAAATGCAAGTAGGTCACAGACTACCTAATTATAAACCATAAAAAAGTCATATTAGTTGCGGCGTGAAGCGAAATTTTGATAAGTCGTCTCAAGTGCCAAACTCGAAATTTGTTGCAGTGTATAAAGGCCAACCGCAAACAAGTTGGTCCGAGAGCACCCAGTACCACCCAATCTGGGTGGCAGGACGTTTCGATGGTGTAACGAACGAACGAATTTGCGTGTTTTTTTTTAATATTTTTGGCTTTGGCACAGGTCAAGTAACGAAAAAAAATCAGTAAGACGATATCCTAGAATGGCAAGAAGCATAATAATTCATATTTTCGTATTCACAGTAGTTTTTTCTCATATCCGTATTCGGAATTATTTTATATTCAAAGGATATGGGAACAAAAATTGCGTCTTTAACAAATTGTTACGACAGGATATGAGTGGCGTTCTAATTGCACGTTTGTACCTTTCATTATTTAGCACGTGATAGTTTCATTATTATTACATGTATATAATTTACATATGTGCTCATGTGTACTATATAGTAAAGTTTTGGGCTATATAATTACAATTATTTATTTATTGTTTATTGTATATTATATATGGTTATTACAGTGTCGCGTTCTGCTTAATTTACGCACTTCCCAACCATTTGAAGATGTCCTAGAAGATTTGGGTCAAGTGTTGAAAATTAATGGCGCAAGAAAAATGTACACCGGCACGGGTCAAGAGGTTAGTACAGCATTTCTAGTGTTAATTTAGCAAGTTAATCTTTATTGTAGTGAATACAACAATCTTTACAATTTATAGCTTAATACACAATTTTCTATTATTATAATAAAAAAGTTTTAATATTATTCTCTTAATAATTTTATACTCAATCAGGTGCGCAGCTTTTCGCAACTACGTAATGAGTTCGCCGATGTAGACACTTTTTACTTAGCTACTGGTAATGCATTAATCGCTGGTTCTCCAATAAGACGTTCACGTTCAAGGCCTTCTGTAGTAGCTGCTGCACCCATATTACCGAATGAGGATCTGCCTAAAGTTCCACTACGTGGCGCAAGACCACGTAGTAAAAGTCGTCCACGCATACTTTATGCACCAGAAAGTGAAATCTTACGTTCGAATGGTGAATATACAATGTTAGATATTATGAAAGAGGAACCAACTAAAGTAACTATACGTGGTTTACGTCGCACATTTTACCCGCCTGTACATCATGCACCGGCGGATAATTCACCGCCAGATAAAAAAATGCAGCTACAATGGGTGTAAGTAATAATAAATCAATTACAAATGCGATTTATACGAGTACATTTAAAAAAATAAACATAAAACATAAAAGTCACAATATTAAAATCTTTATTTCGATCCAATTTATTGATCGCAATACCTCTTTTTAATAATGTTTACTTCTTTACTTGTTGAGCCATAACAATCCATTACTAGGTTTCGGTCGTATATCAATTCCGGTTAGTGCTCCCCCAGCTTGATCATTCCACCGGAGAGTGATCAGAGGTCTTACATAAACTGATACCGGTGTGGACCAATGGGGCCATACGTGACTGACTAAGTACAGATTAATCTAATCTAAGATAATACAATCGCCTTATTATGTTCAAGAAAATCAATTCTTGAGAACTTTCTCACTAGACATTGCAAACTGATTGACGTTTCTATTGAAACGTTTCTATTGACATTGCATGAGCATAATGCATAGATATATAAACCATTATAAAAATCAGGAGCTTATAATAAAAAAACGTACCCAAAAGAAGTTTTTTCTGTAAGTTGGCAGCACTGTCTGTCATGTACCATACTCATTATACTCATTATAATATACTCGTATATATTCATTATACTAGCATATGCAGTCAAACTTCTATAAGTCGAAGTCCAATTTTGCAAAGAAAAGGTTCGATTGATGGAGACTTCGAGTTAGAGAATTTTTTTTATATTTTTTTTATTTTTGAAAGAAACAAGAATTACATTTTGAGATATTTATTTATTTGCAACCAAGTAAAGCAAAGAAGTTATAGTAAAGTGAAATATTCAGAAATTAGGGTTTGGGATTATAATTTCTTTTTCTTATTTTCAGTAAAAAAAGATTCCAATTTATTCCAAGCCTTATAGTGATCATTAGTTGTAGTATCATTCGTTTGCAAATATAAATTCAGAATTTTGAAAAAGTCTTCTACTTCATTCTTGGAAGGCTGATGAATAATTACATCCACTGAACGAACCCTCATTACTTTCCGTTGCGCTTAGAATTGGATCCAGTAATTTAGAGCTATAGTGCTCAATAATATCGTCATCTGCAGGAAAGCTTGATGTACAAATTTCACAAATTCAATATAATCATTAAGAGTAGCATTGGAAGTTATTTTAATTAAGAAAGAAAAAATTGAACATTTGGTTTGGAAAAAGGAAGTTTATTGTATTAATATAGTATATAATGTGTACTCATTATGCTTATATCAGCTGTTTTTCTAATAATACTTTAGATTGTTCTAAGAATGCCCACAGCCATGTTTATGTGTTTTGATCTCAAAAAATCAATGAATGTGGTCGACCATGTAGCGTTCTCACTGGACAAGGACTTCTGTCTATTCCTGTCTGTCTGTTTCTGAAATGATCATTTCAGGTATTTAGATTATTTAGAGTTGATTATAGTCTTAAAAAAATTTTTTGAAGTATTTGAAATGAATTCTGAATTGTTGATAATGCTTTTGTATTTTATTTCATAATTCCGGATACATAAATAAATTAAAATATTAATTAAATTTAAATTATAAGACTTTGTTTAAGGAAAAGGATTAAGTATAGTAATCATGATAGTAACTAATTGAGTTATATGCACTTTGAAATTCGAAAATGTATCCACAATTACATTTTGTGACGAAAAGAAGCATTAGTCAAACTGAATGTGTTATAACAGATCAGTAGCAAATATTCTTGTATCCACTCTTTTTTTATGTATATTGTAGTAAATTAAATTAGAAGATATTATGGAACTTTGATTATGCTAACGTGTTTCGAAACGGTTGCTCTTTTTTCGATTTTTATAAGTCAGTTTTTTTATGGAGTATTCCTGCTTCTTGGCGACGCCCAAGAAAATAATAATAAATTATTGGCTTAAATTGAATAGCAATTGTAGTAAAAATTTAAGATAAATATAGTTCGCTGATAATATCTAGATTTTCTAGATATCAACTTAACAGAAGCATAGGAGAGATACAGTAATAAAAATAATAAATCTAAGATATTCTTTGGACCACAACACATAAGACAAATAAATTAGAAAATAAGTCATAATCAAAGTATCAAAGTCCGAAGACTACTTTCTCTTTGCTGAAGACAACCTCTACCACTACTGGCAGATGTATTTATAGTCTCTTTAAATTTAACTAAAAAGCTTACTGCCACATTGTCAGTGGACTAAGTTATATAATTGAATGCATTTACTTCAGTTATTAACTCAAAAACAAATCACCAACTTAATAATTTATTATAACATTAGATCCACTACTTAATTATATAATCTGTTATAGTCACGGTTACCGAGGTATTGATGCGAGACGTAATCTTTGGGTCTTACCATCTGGGGAATTGCTTTATTATGTAGCCGCTGTAGCTGTGTTGCTCGATCGTGATGAAGATGCGCAGCGTCATTATATTGGACATACAGAAGATATCATGTGGTAAGTAAACATATTCCATAAAATTACTTATTAATAAAAACAAAAACTTTAAATAACTTATATTCTTAGCATGGATGTGCATCCATCAAGAGAACTTGTTGCATCCGGACAGAAAGCAGGTCGAGATCGTAAATCACAAGCGCACGTACGCATATGGAGTACTGAATCTTTACAAACCTTATATGTGTTCGGAATGGGTGAATTGGACAGTGGAGTTACTGCCGTAGCATTTTCACAATTGGTAAGTAATTCCCAATATAACTATATTATTTTAATTAAAAAAAAATTAATTTGTTTGATTATTCAAATAATAATTCCATAGAACGGTGGTAGTTACATTTTAGCTGTGGATAGTGGACGTGAAAGCATACTATCTGTTTGGCAATGGCAATGGGGACATCTATTAGGAAAAGTAGCTGTAAGTTATTATAAAATATCCTACATCTATTATACACAAACCATTTTTATTTATATATTTTTTCTGAAGACATTGCAAGAAGGTTTGTCGGGAGCAGCTTTTCATCCATTAGATGATAATCTTATTATAACACATGGACGTGGTCATTTGGCTTTTTGGCATAGACGTAAAGATGGTTTCTTTGAGCGTACCGATATAGTGAAACAGCCCTCACGTTCTCATGTCACAAGCGTTCAATTTGAACCGGATGGCGATGTAATCACTGCTGATTCGGATGGTTTTATAACAATCTATTCAGTCGACTCTGATGGTGCTTATTTTGTGCGTACCGAATTTGAAGCACATAACAAAGGTATTGGTTGTCTCATCATGCTGGGAGAGGGTACTTTATTATCAGGTGGTGAAAAAGATCGAAAAATCGCTGCATGGGACTCACTGCAAAATTATAAAAAAATTGCCGATACAAAGGTAAGCTGGAATTCTAAATTATTATTATTAAATTAAACTACTAAATCACTAATAATAGCAAATAATTTTATTGTACATGTACTATATATTATTTAATTTCACGCAAGGGTAATTTATTTTTAAAGGGTTGCATTCAACATTTTTTGTCTTAAATGGCTTGTTTTATATATAATAAGATCATTAATATGAAAGCTCTTTGTATAGTAGATTATGCTCATTATACCATGTTTCTACTGCTTACTTAGTAAGCTACTTAAATAACTTTAAGATTTTGAGGTTTCCATAGACGTAAGTTACTTATTGCATGTGAAAAAGCTTTAATGTGTCAGTAAGTTTACATAAAATCAAGAAGCTTTTTCTATGGTTACACTTACTAAGTAAACAATGGAAGCATACTATTATGCTACGTTTCCAGTGGCTTACTTGAGATTCAAATAATTCAATTAATCTCAAGGAAGTTAATTGTTCTAACAAAGCCAGTGGAAACGTATTATTAAATTCAACATTTTGGGTCTAATTTCCTTCGTTTTATTTTTAAGTACGTTAAAAAGCACGGAAGCTCTTTGTGAGATTAATGAAATTTACTTAGCATCCTTAAGTAAGTTAACTGATCTAACAGTGACAGTGGAAACATGCTATTAGCCACCTTAATAAGCAAAGCTTTCTAAATGAGACAAATAGAAACATTATATTAGTCCCTATGATTTCTTTTTATACGAAGCTATTTTAAGCGGACATTTCGGTTAGCCGCACAGAAATGGTAGTTTCGTCTGGATACACTTTAGAGAGTTTTCATTATATTGAATACTTTCAAGAAATATCTCCTATATGTTTGTTATTATAAATTCTGTAATTTAATCATTAATAACTACATGAGAGATGCCCTGAATGATTGACTCAACAATTATAAAATATTTAAACATTTATTGTTATTATAAATTTAATTATGAAATTTATTGCATTGATGTTAAGATATTGAAATTGAAATATTTTATTTACCTCATTACATTAGCAATAAATAACACTTAAATTGCGAGTAAAATAATTCTTTACAATAAATAAACAGAAAATTAATCGGAAAACATTTTTTTTAGCTGCCGGAGTCTGCTGGTGGCGTACGCACTATTTATCCCCAACGTCCGGGCCGGAATGACGGCAATATATACGTTGGCACCACACGTAACAATATCCTTGAGGGCTCTTTACAACGGCGATTCACACAAGTTGTTTTCGGACACGGGCGTCAATTGTGGGGTTTGGCCGCACATCCTGAAGACGAGCTTTACGCTACCGCTGGCCATGACAAACACATCGCCTTGTGGCGTAAAAATAAACTTATTTGGAGCATACAAACGGGCTATGAATGCGTTTCGTTAGCATTTCATCCATTTGGTACCGCTCTGGCTGCTGGCAGCACTGAGGGTCATTTACTTGTAATAAATTGTGAAAATGGTTCGGTGATGTTGACATTGCGAGTGTGCGGTTCACCGTTAAATTGTGTTGCCTACAATCAAGGTAAGTCTTAACACTTTGATGTATTTGACAGCGAATCATTTGTTGCAAACAAGTGACCTGGAAATTTTATTTTTATTGAAAAATCTATTAAATACAGTAAATATATTTTTTTTTTTGACTTAAATCAGAGAATATAAAATTTAATATTAAAACAATTTTTAACTATTTTAAATAGAATATACTATTTTATATTATATTATATTCTAATGGTCTTTCAATTGGTATAAATTAAGATAATGAATTAAAATCTAGATTGTATTCATTCTATATTTACTCTCGATCTGTCAAATTTTTTTGTCCACTCGAACATCGAATCAATTCAGACTTTATTTGTCAAATCATCTAAAACAGCTGTTAGTTTCAGGGTGATCGGAGCTACTTTGGAAAAATATCTAGAGTGTTATAAATTAATTTCGAGTGTTATCTATTTCAGCTGAGATTGATAGCCGAGAGATTTTGCTCAATTGAAAATGAAAATTGCTCTAAAAGTGAATCTCGATTAAAAAGTTACCCCAGATTTACTAATCGAAAACCGCATAAGTGTTTACAAATAAGTCATATATTTTTATAAATGACATAACACTTCGTTCAATAATGTGTGTGACTGACACATAGATGGTTGCACTAATACTAAATAAATACTTTTTTTTCGAAGTGCCAACCTTTTTAGGCTTACTGTCAAAATCATATGTTAATCCGACCATTTGTTTACAAGTTACAGTGCTTTAAGTGACGCTACTTTTGAGTTTTCAAAAAAAAATCAATTCAAAGCAATTCCGTGTGCTGATTTATCATTGTTTTTTAATGAAAAAAAATACTGTTCAATACCAGGAATAGCTTGAAAAATATTATTCGGACTCTGCTCCATCAAAAAGAAGCATTTGTTATTGGTATGCCGAATTCAAACGTGGTCGTACAGACACCGATGACATTCCATCTACTGGACGGTCAAATGACGCTGTTATTCCGGAAAACGTTGAAAAAACACTGAAAATCATTATGTCCGACCGTAAAGTGAAAGTGAGGGAGATTGCTGACATTCTACAGATATCAGCAGGCAGTGTACACACCATAATACACGAACATTTGAGTATGAAAAAGGTGTTTTCCAAATGGGTGCCGCGTTTGCTCACACCGGAGTAAAAACAACAACGAATCGATGATTCAAAGAGCTGTTTGGACATGTTTACGCGCAATAAGTCGGAGTTTTTGCGTCGGTACATCACGATGGATGAAACATGGATCCACCATTTCACTCCAGAGTCAAATCAGCAGTCTGCTGAGTAGCATGCAGCCGGTGAAAGCCGCCCAAAGCGACCAAAGATGCAGCAGTTGGCTGACAAGGTTATGGCGTCTGTATTTTGGAATGCGCATGGAATAATATTCATCGACTATCTCCAGAAGGGGAAGACCATCAACAGCGACTATTATATAGCGTTATTGGAGCGTTTGAAAGACGAAATCGAAAAGAAACGATCTCATATGGCGAAGAAACAGTTTTGTTCCACCAAGACAATGCACCGTGTCAAAAGTCGATGAAAACGATAGCAAAATTGAACGAATAGAGCTACGAATTGCTTCCGCACTCACCGTATTCCCCAGATCTGGCCCGCAGCGACTACTGGCGCTTCGCAGACCTCAAAAAGATGCTCCGTGGTAAGAGATTTGGCTCTAATGATGAAATAATCGCCGAAACTAACGCCTATTTTGAAGGCAAAGTAAAATCGTTTTACAAAGGCGGTAGATTGCAAAACCGTTGGAATGGTTGTATCTCCCTAAAAGGGGACTATGTTGATGAATAAAAACGAATTTTGGCAAAAAAATGTGTTTTAATTAGTTAGTCACACACATTATTGAACGAAGTGTTATATGATATATTTTTCATTAGTATGCAAAAGTGTACATATGTGCTTTATAACACAAAACACAAATTTCTAACGAGTAAACATTTTTGCCTTAGACATCCGTCGTTTCCTCTCAAAAACGAATCAAAATCAAATTATAGAAAAAAAGCTGTTTAAACAAATATTTGAAAAAACTCTCTTTTTGACATGAAAAGAGGGAAATCTGAAAAATGATGTCATCCAATAGTTTAATTATGGTTCTAGACAATTCTAGACATAGAAAAAACAAATGTTTTGGTGTCTTTTTTACGAACCCCGGTAGACATGTAATATAGAAGATACCACAGGCCATCCTATAATCCAGTGTCCTATTAGAAAAGTGATGATAATCTTAATATTTCTGTTTTTCTTCTGTGTACCAAGTCAGAGGTTCGACATTTTGAGTAAAATGGCCAAGTAGCTCTTGTCCTGGCTCCTGAAGAGTCCACTTCCTATTTGCCTGTCGCAGAAAATGATAATAAATCAATCTACGGCCTTTACGATTGATAGGGGCAGAGATTAAAACAGGAGTTTCCGTTGAAGACGAGCCCAGTCGGGTTGGTTTATCTGCCTGCTCATTTCCTACTATATTGGAATGCTTAATCCTGGTTTGTTTAAATTATTCTTATAGCTTTAGAAAGCGATTTAGCGACTAGTTTTATAGTATTTTTGGTACAAAGTTACCAAATATTTCTCGCACCTGAATGTTTTTGCAATATATTCCAAAATCGAGCAACTCAAGTACCCATAGTCTCAGCAAGTTTCTTTGATATTTATACGGCAAGGTTTCTTCATACGATGTTCTGTAGTAATTTATGTTTTTATCAAAGGTTAAAGACAGGTATTAGTCTTTAAGATTCTGCAATTTAGTAACTTCTTTTTGTATTTTTTTTATATTATTTTAAAATACTATTATTGTAATGTATAATATATATCAACGAGATTTATGTATAACTGTTTTTATATATGAACTATTGATATCTTCTTTTAATAAATAAACTATTATTTTTGTTTGATTTAAACAAATGAAATTATTAGTTTAATACACGTATAAATTATTTTTTAATATTATTTATAAAAATATAAATCTAAAGCTGGCAAAACCCAAATAGTTACATATATTTTTATTAATTTTTGTTTATAGTTGGTGACATGATCGCAATGGGCTCACAAAATGGTAGCATTTATCTTTTCCGTGTCTCTCGAGATGGTTTCTCATACAAAAAAGTGAATAAAATTCGTGGCTCACAACCGTTAACGCATTTGGATTGGAGTATGGATGGCAATTATGTACAAACAGTAACAATTGATTTCGATTTACTTTTCTGGGATGCAAAGTCACTCTCACCAGAGCGCAGTCCCATTGCCATGAAAGACGTTAAATGGTTAACAAGCAACTGTACAGTCGGCTTTTTGGTTGCTGGTATGTGGAGCAATCGCTATTACAGCAACACTACTTCGATTATAGCCACTTGCAGTCGTTCATCTACACAGGATATGCTAGTTTCAGGCGATGCAGATGGTTATTTACGTTTGTTTAGGTAATATTTACATATTTTTTTTTATTAACTTTTCAATACTCATATATTATGTGGAAAATACCTGTTTATTTTAGATATCCATGCATTAGTCCACGTGCAGAGTTTCATGAATCAAAGGTGTACTCTGGTATGCTTGCATGCGCACGTTTCCTTTACGGGGATCAAACAGTTGTTACAGTGGGTGGCACAGACGCTTCCCTCATGGTCTGGGATCTTGTTGAGGAATAGCTGAAATGGCCACCGTGGCGACCCGCTGCACAACATGAGGCGCGCTATAATGACTATTGGCATAGACGTTTCTCGAAAGCGTCGTCAACCGGCTTAGATAGTGACTCCAACGAATATCAATAGCTGAAATTGAATGTGCTCTAGTTCTTAATAGCAATGACCTTAGTATAAGCGCAGCTTTTTATATAATCAGATCTAAAATAAATCGAAGAGGCATTATTTTTTGTCTATTTTGTTATAGAAATTATCAAAAGAAATTTAAAAATTGAAATTAATAATCGTAAAAAAAAAACCTTTAAAATATTTGCAAATAAATTTTTCTTTTTAAAAATTTTATAAATAAAATTGTCCCAAAAATATAATATTTTTAATTGAAGGTTGTTAAATTAATTGGAATTGGGTTTCAGTAAAAATGTACTAAAATAAATTAAAAAATACATATCGAAATTACACTATAACAAAACATTTTTTATATATAATATTTAAGAAGCCTTCAATTAAAAAAAAAATCAGAATAATTATTTCATTTGAATTAAAGAATTAAATTACTTCCGAAACAAACTTCCAGAGGAAATTAATTACAAAAAAGCTTCCATTTGAATTAAATAATTAATTTGCATAAATTTTACAAACTTCCATTTTAAATTGCCTGTTTACTGCATTCGATATTCATCGAATGCTAAATGCAACATATATATTTAATTTATACATTAATTTTTCTATTTTATAAAATATATTTTTAAAAATTACTCCGCATCCTTTTATAATAGACTTACAGCCACTGGTGGATTCAACAGTTAAAATCAAATATTTATACCTAACATGACATTTTTACTAATCTATTTTTATTTCTTTATACTATATATAGTTTTATATTATATATTCATACAAACTGTATACATATCAATATATTAATGACTTCATATAAAAGCATTTGTGTTCAATTTTAATTCAATTTAATTTATGAAAGTACATTAATAATTTTAATTATGGAGGAATAATAAAAATTATAAACAAGAAATTAAAGCACCTTTGAACAAGTTTAAGCAAATATTGTACTTTATTATAGACAAAATGTTGAAAATTAATAAAATCAAATAAATAATTGTTATAAAAAAGTTTTTTTTCTTATATTTGTTAATAAACTTAAAATAGAAATAATAAACTCTAAAAGTAGCCTTTCGACTTATACCATGTTCTCACTACAGCTAAATCAATTTATGTTAATCAAATTAACATTCGATCGTTTCCATTGACATAAATTGGTTTAAGCATGTGAAAGAGCTTTTAAGTGTCAGAAAGTTTGTATAAAAGTTTTTTCTTATATTTATTAATAAACTAAAAATAGATGAAATATTGGACGGCATCTTTTTACACCAAAGCCGACTTATACCATATTCTCACTACAACTAAATCAATTTATGTTAATCAAATTAACATTCGGTCATTTCCATTGACATAAGTTGATTTATGAATGTGAAAGAGCTTTTAAGTGTCAGAAAGTTCAGTGAAAGTTCTAAGAGAGCTTTTGTTTGTTCACATTTGAACTGTATTGTTAGCAAAATTAAATGATTGATCATGGAAAACGCAGAAACTACAAAATATGTTGTGTATAATATTTATTTAAAAAAAACAAACATTTTAAAAATTCTTACTCTTTGTTTATTTTTTGCTTATTTACATTTTGTTTTATGTGTCAAATATGTCATTTCATATGTCATTTCAATAATTTCCCTTTTGGAAAACATGTTTTGCAATTGGCTTTTTCTTTTGTAAGCAAATCACAAAAGAACAACCGTTTATTTTTATAATAACATATGAAACAACAACACTGCTGGCTTATTTAGTCCAATTTTTTTGAAACCGCTTAACTAATGAGCAGCTCAAATTGCATGATTGATTGCCAAGATTAAAAATTCGTCTATTTGGAACGGTTTTTGGAAGTACGTACAAAATTTCCAGTTAACTGTCAACAAATATTTTACAAATAATACTCAATTCTTTTTCATTTACTAAAATTAAAAAATTATGCTCATCTCTCAAAAAGCTCAAAAATACAAATTTCATTCACAATCATGTAAATAATAAAATATTCTTACCTATAATTGTAAAGAATTATTATTCATTTTTGAAAACTTTAAATTTAAATTTTATAACATGTTTTGCATATATAAGCCTAACACAATTTCCGGTTCTTCCAAAATTGCCGCCAACGGTAGTACTTATTAGTACTTATTATTGTTCTTTTGCGACATACTCACAAAAGAAAAGGCCTAATGTTGCATTCGACATTTTAAGAACAATTTCCCTTTATTTATTCTTAAGTAATGCCACGTTACCATTAAGATCTTTAGTGAACGAACTTTGCTACAGTTGATTACAGCATATTTGCAAGGTAAATATTTTGTGAAAGTAGTTAAAAACCGTGGATATATGATAAATCTGATAATCGAATTATAATATTACGTCGTGTGAATCGATATTTTTACTTTTTGATTTCAGATGTCAGTTTAAATTTTTTGACAACTATAATTACAATCAAAACTCTCATGTGAATCAAGTATAAACTATTTTTGTATAAATTTTTATTTCTGTTGATATTTGTTTCACTGATGTTTTACCGAAGCTAATTATCAGACTTAGTGCCTCCATAACCCATAATAATTAACCAAAAAAACAAGTTTTGGTCGAGATTAATTTTTAATCTCCTAAGAAATGATAAATTTTTTTCTGTGCAACTCTGCAAATGGCCTAATATCGTAGATTTTTTTACGATCTTAGAAGAATTGGAAGAAAAATGTCAAAATCTATCTAAAACAAAAATTGAAAATGCCGAAATGAGTAAATTTTTGTTAAATTTGTTTAGTATTAGTTTTATACATAATTATAACTAAAATTTTTTAAATTATTGTTATAAAACTATATATTAAATTTTTTGTACAAAATTATAATTAAATGCTTTATATACAGAAATTTATCAAAGACACGAAACGAAGCATAACAGGAGAGAAACATGAAAATTAATCTCCAATGTATAGTGTAAACGATGGAGATTAAAAATTCAGAACTTAATCTCGTTCTCTTAATCTCACAATGTAAACGTAGTATTAGACTACCAATAGCGTTCATGTTTTTATACAGACAAATTGCAATAATAATATTGTGCAATAAATCCAGTCAGAAATTTTATTTTTGTAATACGTTTTTGTCACATATAAAAATATCTTTCACAAAATTCCGCATATAATAATTTTTTGTTTAGATTGATGATATAATTTCGAAAAAACAAAGTTACTTGTAAAAATTCAAAATGAGAAGTTGAAATTAATATGACAAAATTATAATCTGGTCACCTTAGCAAAAATTACAAATGAAATATGAAATTTGATTGGTAAAAAAAAATTAGTTTCTTATTCCATACTGTGCGTGTGTGTATAACTCTTTTAGTAAAGCGCGCATTTGAATTCTAGATTTTAATTTCGCAAACAAATAATTTACGGTAAAGTCAAAAGAACAATATATACTACTTTGTTTTATATTGTTATAAAGTGCGAATCTTGATTGTAATACAGACAATTAGGTAATATAAAAAGAGAAGAGGTAAGTTTTACCATTAATATTGATAATTTCTTCTTTTGCTTTTTTATATATAAAATTAAAATCTATAAATGCTTCATTCCAACCATGAGTTAATGTTTTTCTAATATTTTGAAATCTATAATAATCAGCAAATATTACATATTCATAAGTTTAAACAATAATATTTTATATACCATAAAAGTGCTAAAACATTGAATTGACATACAAATTTCAGAATAATGGCGTTTTTGTTTAGTAAATCTAGATTCAATCTAGATTTACTCTTGATATGTTAAATTTTGTCGTCCAATGAAACATTTTTGAAATAATCTAACATTTTTGTAGTAGTATGAGTAGACATTTATATATTCCATGAATATATTGCATCAAATTACACTTTATTTGTAAAGTCATATAGAACGGCTGTTAATGTTAGGGTAATTTTGCAACTCTTGCAAAGTGTCTAGAGTGTTATTAATTAATCTCGAGTGTTTTACATTTCGCTCGAGATTTACCAATCGAAAATAAAATCGAAAATTGCATTAAAAGCGAATCTCGATTGATAAAGTTGCGCCAGATTTTCCGATCGAAAACCGCATAAGTTCAAAGTATTACTAATGTAATTGTTAGCTGCGCTGCAAAACAATAACAATGGGGTGAACCAGCAATTAAACTGCGAAATGTCGTTGGCAATGCGATTTTAACATATGATACGGTGCAAAAAAATAATATAAACAAAACGACAAGTGAAAACGGAGTTTGGCGAAAAAATAGCGTTTTATTTTTATTTTTATTTTTTTAAATTAATAATTATTATGAAAATTTGTATCACAAAATTCACTATATTTCCATGTTGATGCACCTCATCCTCAAAAGTTAATACACATGAACTAGTGTTAAATAAGCGAGTGGTAGAATGTCATTGTCGCTCGATAATTCTATTAAAATCTGCAGTTTTCATTTATTTACTACAGAAGTTAAGTTTTAAAGTAAATAATAAATAAAAGACTTACATTTAAAATTTCAAACATTTCAGCAGATTTTATATTTTATATATACAGTAGATATATACATATATACAGTAGAACTCTCACAAATTCGAACTCTAAAAAGAACTTTTGGTTATTTTTAGAACTTTTAGTTTAAATTTTTAAATAATTTGTTTTTTCTTTAAGTTTCTGCTTCTGCTTTCTGTTTTTTTGTAAGTTTTGTATAAATTAGTTAGTTAAGACATGTTATTGTGCGTATTTTGTTTCAAAAAAAATAAAAGGGGGAACTCCCATAATGAAACGCTTAAAAAATGAAAGTTCAGAACGGATCTGAGTATTTGTTTAATACCGATAATGATACTTCAAACAACATTGAAGTCAACGTTCCCAATCTCACACCAAATATATCTTATTCTGAAGCGATTAGAGCGTAAATATCTTAATAAATTGGTGCAAAAAGAATGACTCGATTCTTACTGATTGCATGACCAATCTTTTAACTCTCTGTAATGATAACATTTAAAAAAATTTGACTAAAACTAAAAACCAAACAAGCATTACTCAATATTTTATACAGTAATACCTAAAGAGAATTGATTTCAACTGTAAAAAAAATTTTTTGTATAGAATGTTCGAACTACCTGAAAAGCCAAGTGGTTATAATTTGAGATCTTCTACTGTATATTTTTTTATTTTTTATATATAAGATTTTTTCAACTATTCTTTAAACGCCAAAATTATTCATATAAATCAAAATAAAATTTTGTAAATAAATACAGCTGACATGTGTGATGCGTTGCCAGTTACTTTCGCATGTGATTCGTATCATATCAGCAAAGAAGATCCAGATTGGGTGCTGAAACGCAGCTATTAATAATGCCATTTATGGATGGACGGCGGCTATATTTTAATAATTATCGTAAAACTGTTTTGTAAATTATTTATTTAATGTTTATGTTTAACTTCAATTAATGACAAATATTTATATCCATATTAATCTAAATCTTATGTAAAAAGATCTGCTTTTCACAAAACATATTTTACAGCTTATCAGCTGTCAACCTAAAGTTCGCGCTTTGTGCAAACGATACATAAATAATGTTTAAAATTGTGTTAATAAATATACAATGAAACGTGATTATGAATCAGTGGCAACACCAATTTTCTAAAAATGTGAAAACGTTAATCTAGTAATGTGTACGTCTAAAATTTAAATTTAATATATATATCATTCTATTTAAAATAGATATGTATTTAGTTTTCTACATCATTTGTAAACAATTATATGTGGTTAACGTTAAAATAAACTCTTCAAGCGCTTTGAAATGATATTAAGTATAAAAAAATTAATTTAATTAAGTTTGCTAATCATAAAATAAATATGTTTTAAATATTATTAAAATTTTTTGTTGACATAAATAAATTTATTAAAATATTTTTAAGAAAAGATTTAGTTTTCTATTTTAAATGTAAGCAAAAGAATTAATGTAGTTCATGTTAAAATAAGTTCCTCAAGCGGTTTGAGTTAATTTGAAGTATGAAATAAATGAATTAAATTAAGTTTGCTAATCATGAAAAATATATTTTTTAGCTATTTATTTAAATTTTTTAATAACATTAAATAAATTTATTAAAACATTCTGAAAAAAGATTTTGCTATAAAGAACATGTTATCAGAGCTGTCAAAATATTTTTTCCACATCGTACTTGCATATCTTGCTTTGAACGAAAAGAGATTGAATGATAACTAGACATCATTTTCATTCGTTTCATATTTTTCTCAGTGCGTGCTGCGAGACTTTGTGCACTAATATTTAATATAAGAAATAATAATAATCATCTAATTAATATTAGCATAAATTTATAGAAAATATGCCTTCGGCTGCCGGAAAGTCATCGAGCGGTTCTATAACCGCTACTGAGAAAAGTTCAGACCCGTCGATTAGCAGCAATGCTGAAAGCAGCACCAGCATTACAAAGGAAAAAAGCGTTGCTATTACTGGAGTTGGCGTATCAGGATCTAATACAAGCATTGACATCAATAATCCAATAAAGCAGTCTATTACTACCATTGAACATAAAATACGTAATTTGGAAAAACGCAAGGTAATTAACATAAAATTAATTTTATAAATAGTTTTACAGTGTCTGGGGTACAATAGTGATGCCCTAAAAAAGCAACTGTTAAGTGTACAATTTTAATTGTTATTATTTTTCTTTTAATATAATGCTTTTAAGTCCTTTACTCTATATATGTTATGGTTTAAGTAGTAGAACAAAATGCAATATAACCCGGCAAAATATGAAATCCATTTGAAGTGCATTTATTTATTGAAAATAATTGTTTGACAAAAGTGCTTTTAAGTTAAGTCAAAGTGTTAAATTAAAATATATTTGAAGTTCTGAATTGTTTTATACCACCATTTTTGTGATGTCGCTCTTTGTCGTGTTCTATCGGTACGTTTCGCAGATTTTCGCGACGCCATGTTTATTGCAGTTGCCACCTTGTTTATACACAAAAAATAATACACGAAAAGTGTAAAGCAGGTAAAAAAACAAAAATTGATAACAGAATAAACAAAATATACAAAAAATTTAAATAAAATATACAAATTGGCTAGAGATGTTGAATGAAAATGTATGGACCTTAAAAACTTTGCATACCACTTGTCTCAGTACTCAATACGAGTGAAGAACTTTTGTTTTGTTATTGTGTGATTTGTCACTGATAAAATCCCTTTCGCAGCGGCCTTTGTTTAAAATACATTTGTAACGAAATGCCAAATGCGTCATAAACAATATTTTATGCTCTTTTGCATTACTACTGTTTTCTGCAACTGTTTATGAAAATAAAATGAATCTGCCAGTAAACAAACACGTATTGCGCATTTGTCTGCTAATGTTTGCTTTCGTTGAATCCCCGCTATTTGCTGATATACTAATTTATTTATTTTTGTTTACTTTATTTTACTAAGCAAGAGAGTTCAAGTAAAAGTAATAAAAATATGTTTTTGCTTATACTATACTTTATACAAGTGTTTAATACTATTAAATTTTCGTGAATAACTAGACAAAGTTGGAATCTTACCGTGCAATACAAGCCACAGGAAAGGAGTTGAGCTCCGATCAAAGAGCTGCGGTGGCAAAGTATGACGGTGTGATCGCTTCTTTGGAATTATGTCGAGATCTTGCTAAACAAATGCAGCAGTTCATAAAGGATGGTGAAAAGGAGCAGAAAAAGCAAGCACGCAAGGTAAGTCATTATAAAACTACTTTACTCAATTATTATGATATTATGACTCACTGTCTGTCTCTCTATTTTTTGTAGGATATAGTAATAAAGGCGCAAGCCGAAACGGCCAAAATTCGTGAAGTGCTTATTATACAAAATATCCTAACTTGTTTTTCTGACGAAACCATTCGTGCTGACTTCCTTAATGGTGACAACGATGCGATTAAGTTGGAAGCAAGTGATTTTGAAGCATTGGATAAATTGTACGTCTATACAAATTATTTAATTAAATTTATAAAATAATTATTTGCTTAATGTCACAGTTATGTTGATGTTCAAATACGTCGTCCTGAAACAGTTGATGATGCTTTATACGCTGCTTCTGCACAAAAAGCTGCTGAAATCTTCTCCATGACAATTGATAATCGCCCAAAACAGTACGGAGAGACAACATTTGAAAATTTGCATAAGATTTTCAATCAAATTCAGGACTGTGGGTATTTGGATAAGATTTACTTGCATGGTCCGGAACCAGTTTCGGATGAAGCAGTTGGAAATTTGATTGAAGATACTGTAGCTGTAGAAGAATCATTGGAAGAAGGTGTAGAGAAAATGAATTTGTCGGATGGTGATAATGGAAATGCTGAGCTACAATCTGTCTCAGTTTCGAGCAGTGACAGTTGTGGTTTATTGCAAAATCCCCTTCCCACGTTGGAGTTCACACAGCAGAAAAATATTGTAAAAGAAGTTGAGGGTCAGTCACAACAGTTAAATACCCAAACTTCCACACAAACTCCAACTGGCATGCAGGCTCCAGCGCAGGTTGCAGTTGTAACTGGGCAAAATTTCCAACCAGGACCACCTTCCGGTACAGCAACTCCTGTCCATTTAAATATGTATCCTCAGCAAATGCAAATACAAGCTCCTACTCAGTTACAGCAGGTACAGCCAGGTGGTATCATTAATGTGCCGCAAGTTCCACCACCACCTCAGATAGTTGGAGGCCCACCCACGCAGCAGCGTCAACTAGCTGGTAGTCCAGTAGGAGCCCAACTATCTCAAGGTGCAGCAATGGCATTGCACGGAGCCCCACAACCAGGCCATTATCCACCAACAACGGTACGTGCTGTCGAGCAGGGCTTTTTTAAGCAGCAATATTTGCAGAACATACGTCCGTTAGCAGAAGTAATTGGTGGTGGTAATTTCTACTTCCTGCAGGACAGTGAGTTGGATTCGCCGGAAATTGGTACTGTAACAGGTAGCGGTGTACCAGTAAACAATGTTGTCTATGATCAACAACAGCAACAAACTATTCAGCTGCAGCAACAACAACAACCAGCACCTGTTAATATTATGAATCCGCATACTGAAATTCATACGCCTACTGAATTGCATAAAGTTCAAGAATCGCACTCGCAACAACAGTTAATAGTAAATAACATGCAAACACAACAACAACCCCCCACACAACCGATTCCAACACAAACGTTCACTAATCAGTCATTCCCGCCCATTCAACATGTACAAACACCAACAATCAATAATAACAATACCCCAACTCTAAGCAGCACCACACCAAGCCCAATGTTTCAGCAAAAACCACAATTATTTTCCCCTGTTAGCACATTGCAGCAACAACAACAACAACTTTTGCATCAACAGGATGTAATAAATGTGGGTAATAACGCGCAGCAGCAAATATTGCTTAATGACCCACAACAACAACCAATGATGATTATGGCACGATTAGCTGCGCCTCAAGCAAGAATACCACCTCAGCAGGCACCACCTCAAACTTTAGGTATGCAACCAGGTGATGTTACTACTCCTAGTGTCGGATTTTCTTTTGATAATCCAGTCGTTTCATCTCTCTCCTATGAACAACAAGTTCAACAACTGGCAGCAACAGGAGCTTTGAAACCGAATCCAACAGAAGAAACTAAAGGCACAGAGGAAACTCATAACTTCAGTTCCGATTCAGTTAAAGAATGGGAAGCTTCGCTTACTTCAACACGTCCAGTAACAAATAGTTCATCGTTAGCTCAAACAAATGCTACTGCTACTGCCGCTCTTACAAATGTTTTGAAACCAGGGGGCTTAGATGGTAAGTGGAGTACTGAAGTAAGTAGTGTAGTAGCACCGCAGCCATCAAATATAGTACCACGTAAGAATGAATGGGCCAGTGGTGGCAACAACAACAACAACAACAATAATAATAATAATGGCGGCGGTGCCAACAGTTATGGTGAAGCATCTACATCATCCGACAATTCGCATGAAACTAACCATTGGAACTCGAATCAACCAGATGGCGGCTATGGTGGACGCGGTGGTGGTCGAGGCCCTTATCAACGTCGTGGCGACGATCGACGTGATCGTGATGACCGCCGTGATGATCGTGGACGAACAGGAGGAAGCGGTGGATATCGTGGTCGACCTAACAATTACTCATCACAGCAAAACGGTAACCGTGGTAATGGCAGTAGTGGTATGTACTTCAGAAATAATGAGAGTTCCTCAACCGGTACATATTACCAAAATGGTGGTGGGAACATTTACGGTAAAGACAACACCCGTTATGAGGGCTCCAACAACTACCGCAACACTCGTAACGGCTCTAATGTTCGTGGCAATGGACCACCGCGTGCAATGGGACGCAACAATAATGGTAGTAACAATGGTGGTTCCTCCAATGCATCTTATATGAATCCCCGACAATCCAATAGGATGCCCATGGGTGGTGGCTTAGACAAAAACTAAAACAAGCAGCATTTTATTTGTTTTAAAAACAAATCATGTTTAGAGAAATATAAGAACCCAGAGTACATAAAATTAATATCTAAGAAAAGCGCAAAAATAAAAAAAACCTAATAAAAAGTTGAAAATAGCAAACATCATGAATTACTAAAAGAGTTATATATCTAATTTATACGAAAAGTAATTATTATACAGAAAAGTAAGAAACATATATACTTCAAAAGAAACGAAAAACATACTAATTTCATTAAGAAACTTTATTTTATGTTCATCGTTTTTAATAAATAAAAGTAATTACATTAATTATATTCAATGGTTAAATTGTTCTTAAAATAGCTAAGAATTTAGTAATTAGCTTCTACTACTTAAGAAATAAACACCTATTAAACTGCTTAACTTACTGCTCCAGATCTGTAAAAGGCTGCGCTTCAGAGGATTTGTAGCAGAGTGGGCATTTAATAGGGGGAAAATAATTTAAGACGCAATTTTATGATTTCATGCAATCTTAAGTATAATAACAGTATTTTAAAAAGAAAACAGATCCGAATAGTAATTAAATATGAGAATTAATTTTTTTATTTGTTAAATAAAAATTTGTGTTTATATATCTATATACAAAACAAAAAGGATTTTTTAATAATAACATAAAAAGATGGAAGGTCGCTTAATGTGGATTACATTTATGTTTTTGAAAAAAAAAATTTGAATGCTGATTATTCAGATTAACATAAAGCATATCAACCATTAACAACAAAAATTTCGCTCGTAATATTTTGCAGAATGAATGAACTGTACAAATTTCAGATATAATGTAAGAGTTAAGAATTTTAGTATCAAAAATATTTATTTTAAACATTTTATACAGAAATGTACTTATTAAACGAATTAGACTATACGTATTAGTTTAACGGTCAATTAATTTATGTTAATATATTTTTTCAACTGAAATATTCTTCACCGCGTAATATATACATTTTAATTGAGTTGATAAGCAAAAGAAAGCGAAAAGCAACAATACGCATGCAAAAACTATGTAAAGAAGAAAAATAATATGAACAACGATGTATGTCTTGCATACCACACAAAATTTTGTATGAAATTCATTTAAGTTGAGAGTGGATAATAGTAAAGTATCTGTCTATTGCAGGAGAGTTATTGCAAATTAACAATAATATTAGAGTTTATTTTATTGAAATCAGATGGAACTGCTGCCATATAATGTACTTTTGCAAAACTTCACTTATTTAATATGATTATAGAGAATTTGGGAGAGCTGATCTCATGAAAGTGAAACATGGAAGAGTATTATTACACAGAGGATCCAATATCAATGTGTGGACTCGTACAACCTAAATTTGAGCTACAGAAGAAATATTGAGATGCAAATGGTATTGGATGGGAGGATGCAATCTCAAAGAAATAAATAGCAATATTGCTTAATAAGCATAGAGATGGAACCCATAAGGTTTTAAACATCCCTGTGCGCGGAAATGACGAGAGTTAAGATAATTTTTAAAAGAAAATTGCTGCAAATTTCCATAATAGAGTAAGATTTGAATTGATAGTTGTTACTCTATGATTTACGTAGTACAGAATTACATTGATACATATTAACAGGAACGTAACTTAGATTAGTAATAAAAACATTTTTATTTATCATAATTTTATACATATGCTTAGAGCAGACATAAATCATTTAAATACATCACACATTTCTGATTAAATACATCACTTTATTTATATAGTATATAAAATTATATAGATTATACATATATCCATATATAATTATTTACAATATATATTTAAATAATTATATAAAAATATACAGCAATTACTTTTACATATTATATTTTACTAGTCTTAATTATAATTTATATAGTCAATTATTATCTATTTACTGTTATTTGTATTTATAAATATACCATTGCATAGGTGCATTGCTATATATATTTACATATACATGAAAACTGTATATATATATATATAAATACAGTCAAACCTCTCTATAACGAAGTTTTGTTGAAGACAGTGATTTTTTATTTTTTTTCATTTATTTAAACCTATCTATAGTGAAAACCAAGTTAAAGACTAAACTTACACGTTTTAACTTATGAGAAACTTCTTTGCGAGTTGTATCCTAATCGATTTGAGCTTGTAAATATGTTATTCAGTTTATAATAGGGATTAGGACTTCTTTTGGTTCGCGTATGGAATGGTGAAGAGCAAGGGAACGACATTATGTGCATTTGCTGACAGTAAAAATTTTAAATGAAAGAGTCATCACTAAACACACCTGTGTGCTCTCGCTTTTAAGCTAATGCTAGAGAATTTTTAGAGGTTTAGAAATCTTGAGTCTATTAACTTGTTGGATAAATTTCTTGACAATAAAAAAAGTTAAAATGTCCAAACAAGCAACAATAACAGATTTTTTTTGAACTGAATAAAATAATTAATTATAATATATATAATAATAAATTTAATAGTAATTATTAAAAATAAGTTTTCTAAATACAAACCAATATATGATTAACGTTTTTAATATAATGTATGTTTATATGAACAAACATGAATTAAATATATTTTTAAAATAAATACGTACATAAATCCCAGTAAAAAAAGACCAATAAAAGAAAATTTGTTTAAGCTCTCTATAACGTAGTTTTTTGCAGGCATTACCGACTTCGTTATAGAGAGGTTTGACTGTATATAAATATGAAAACCCTTTTTTATGGGCATCTATTTCAGCCTTGAAATGTTGTTAGGCCTCAGTTTCTATTTTGCATACGTAGTACGTTTCATAAAATTAATAATTTTTTTAACCAAACTGACTTTGCTGATTTCATCGGTGCTCATTTAAGGGAGCTGGCACTATATTTTATATATCTAAATAACGGTAATTTGTCATAGTTCAAAATTTTGTAAATAGTTTTTAGTGTGTTACCACTTTAAAGTGCTAAAACAGCAGCATAAGTACTTTTTATCACAGTTTTTCTTATTAGATTTTGCTACTCTACTAATTTTGATAATCGGAATTCTTTTATATTTTTAAACATGTACTGCTAATTAGTATCCAGTACTGCTTCTTATTTGGATTTTTTATTTATCTCTTGACTACTGCACAAAAACCACAGCCCTCCAATAATAAATGTGGTACCAATTGTAGATAAAAAGGTGATGACTTCTTGATAAATGAATGAAGCTAAAACAAACTGAATATATTAAATTAAATAAAAGAATATCAAAATATTTTAAATATATTTTACCGAGACAATATAATTTGTTGCGGTTGTAAGCACGGTTACGAATATTGTTTGTTCGGCTGTTTGCAACGCTTTCAAAAAATATCTCCAATTCATAACATTACATAAAATCATTAATAAAATTGGCAATACACGAAACACATATTCTGAACAATAAAATATTAAATAAATAAGTATTAACAAATTAAATAAGGAAGAAATATATTACCCAAGGAAGTAGCATATGCAGAATTGTTGAGGGGTAAATGTGATAGGTATTGTTTTTCCACTAAAAAGGTAGGTAATTTCCCGAAAAAACTGCCACCAGCAGCAAAAGTTCCAGCGATGATACTGTACCGATATTTATAAAAAGCATCCATTATTTTTCAGTGATTAAAATTTTTCTATTTATATTTAATATTATGCGGCAAATAACAAACGATTCAGTGTGAGTCTGGCAGCTCAACAGCTGATATACGAAAAAGTAGTGTTGATAAACGATTTCATACGAAATTAGTGCCAAATTTGTGTTGGCACAAATTTTTAGTTTAGTTTTATATATTTATGTATTTAGTTTGTATATATATATATATATATATATTTATATATTTAGTTTGTATATTTGTACTTGTATTTAATATATAATATTTATATTATATATAAAAATTTGTTGTTACTATAATGTCACTTAATTAGCCAAAATTTACATAAACAATAAAACAGTAGCATCAGAATTATTAATTAAGTTAAAATTTTAGTAGAAGCATTAAGTTATTTTACTTTTGTTTGTATATTATTTATATATTATTTCCAGTGAACATTCACAATAGACTGATTTTAAATTTGGCTGCACTAAAACTTAAGCCGTAAAATCGTTTGGGAATAAAACCTAAATCTGAAGATTTTTAAGAGTATTGTTGTTGTTGCTTCACATGTTTTCAGGAAATGTAAAAAGCAGAAAAGGTAGAATGCTGTGCTGGAGATTGTTGTTGCAGAATTAATGGGTAATTTAAGTTTGTGCATTTATATGTATATTATAGCACTATCTCGGTCGCAAAATAGATATAAAATCAAACAATTGTCAACAAAACTTGAGAGTTTCGCTAAAGTATTGTCCTGTGAACAGTGACAAAAGTAGTTTTATTCACAATAGAGTCTTGAAAATCACATATGAAAGAGGTAATTGGTGTTGAAAATATGGTCTTGCATACTTCCGTGGAAATCAATGCAGAATCATAAGAAAGGGATTTTTTTTTTGATTTTTGTAAATTCAAATAATTTTACATATGCAACGATACACAGAATACCTCTAGTAAAGCAAATGTCGCCGTGTTTGAGGTGGCGTCGAGAATCTGTCACCGTTTACGTGCGAGCCTGGCACGCTGCGCTTAAATAAACAGTGTGCGGTTTACTGTGTGCACGTATATCGTGTTTATTTATTTGAATTATTGTTATTGAAAAGAAGTAATGGTAAGTTATTCAACATAATAAAATTATTTTAATAATAAACTAAATATTTAAATTAAATTGTTTCTAATTGTCTGCATAAAATTATAGATGTCTGCTGAAGAACTAATAGAAGCAGTAAAAGAGCACAAAGAACTATACGACACGAACCATCCTAATTATATGAAAACAAAATTGAAATGGATAATATGGAATACCATTGCAAAGCGTTTACATTTTACAAATGGTAAGTGACTTTAGAGCTGATCTAAAATCCGATTTGAATCAAAGCAATTCAAATTTTGCACGGGTCCTCTGTGCATGGCGTATTTCAGGCTGGACTTCTATTCTAGACATTTTTTGCATATACAAAATATTAAAGTTTCCATTTATCTTGAAGTTGTATAATTAAAAATTTCCTAATAAGTGTTAAAAACAATATTAATTTATTACAAAACTGAATAGTGCTACTCTCCCAATCATAATATATAAACATATGTGTAGAACCACACCTTTACAGTAGGTTTTTTTTTTATTATTAAGCATTAATGTGCAGAAACCCCACAACTTTTTAATAGTGGCTATACATATATATATATATAAAGTTATTAATAAGTAGTAATAAAACTAGTTATGTGGAATGAGAATTGGTAGTTGATAGAACTTCACTAGCACAAGTAGTGTAGTTCCAACAGATGCTACAATAAGTAACATATAAACCTCATACTGAAGTATTTCCAGAAATGGAAAATAAAGGTCAATAATGAAAAAACCAAGGCTCTGTTTATTACGCGTAAGTGGAGACAGAACCCGGCGAGAGTGAGAGTGGGAGATATGGTAATAAACTGGGAGAATAGTATTAAATATCTAGGCATCACGGTGAACAAACGATTCACATGGTTTAAACATCTTCAACTTCAAGAATTAGCTGTGCCAAAATTGTTCATCATCTCCAATCACTATTCAAAAATAAAAATCCCAATATTAAGAACAGGAAGTTGTTATATAACCAAATAATTCGACCGTCACTTCCATATGGATGTGTAGCATTTAGCAAAGTCCAAATATTCCCCAGCTAGAAATTGCACAAAGCCAGACTCTGAGAAGACTTTTCAAGTACCATGGTACATTAGGACAAATGAGGAAGTTGTTATATAACCAAATAATTCGACCGTCACTTCCATATGGATGTGTAGCATTTAGCAAAGTCCAAATATTCCCCAGCTAGAAATTGCACAAAGCCAGACTCTGAGAAGACTTTTCAAATACCATGGTACATTAGGACAAATGAGATTCTCATGGAGCTCAAGATTTATTCGATCAAAAAGTTCATAAAGGATAGAGCCCGGAAATTATTTACGAAAACTGACAGACTTACCAACACCGCGTTATCGAATCTCAGAATGGTTCCTCGGGTAGGTATGCAGATCTAAGGTCTGAAAAGGTGATAAACAATAATCCAGTCAAGGCCAAAAGAGGGGTTATGAAAAAAGCTCGCAGACAATAGAGAGTATAAGTGCTCAAGTGCTTTGACTCAACTAGCCTCAACATAATAGTAAATATATATTTAGAAGCATCTGTTGGAAGTGCACTACTTATGCTAGAAAAGTTCTACCAACTCTCATTTCACCTAACCTATACTTTTATTATTAGTTCTTAATCATCAGTTCTTCATAATCAGTTCTTATACCATTGAACTCCAAAAAATATCTATATATCTAAATTTAATTTAAATCTAATATAAATAATATAAAGCCAAGCAATAAATCGTATAAAGCTTAATTAATTTTTTTTTTTTTTGATTTTATAGGAGAAAATGCAAAAACTATGTGGCTTAGATTAAGAGGCAGCTATCGAGATGCAAGACGGCGACAAATAAAAATGCAGAAAAGTGGAGCCGAACATATAAAGCCATGGCGATATCAAAATAAAATGTCATTTCTTGAAAAATTTACATCAGTTGGAAACCGTGAAGGTTATACCTTTGATCATACCTGCAATGATTCTCAATTTTCATATGATTCCACAACATATCTACCTTTTGAAATGGTTGAAGTAGAAGAAGAATGTAAAGATGAAAGTGAATTACAACCTCAAGATGACGATAATATTGTTGAAGTGGGTAAAGAGATTAATTACGTAAAGGAAGAAAAGAAGAATTTTGATAATGATTCATGTGATCTTATTAAACGTTCAATGCAGCCTTACCATCAAAGTTTAGAACAATCAGCAGAAGATACAAAAAACATAAATCAAAATAAAAATAAAAAGAGCGAAGAAAGTAGTGATCCTCTTTATACATTTTTCATGTCCATGTATCAAGCTACCAAACAAATGCCACCCATATATCAGCATAAGGTAAGATCACAAGTTTTTCAATCAATATCTGATGCAGAAGCAGATATTCTAAACATGACTCCTCATCGACCATATTCAACGGTTTCTAATTACTGCCATTTGGATTCATTTGATAATTCGTAATATAATATAATATTATATTAGTATTAATAATTAGATAAGATAATGTAAGTCCAGCAATACATTGCGTTCTCTATTTTTTAGAGATGTTGTTCCATAATTATAATAAATTACCTCAAATAAAAGAAAGGCTTTAATCATATATCCATTATTCCAAAATTATAATAATAAAGTATTTTTATTCTTAATGTTGTTAAAATTTTAACTTACCTCAAATGGGAAAGACTTTAATCATATATCCATAATTCTATAGTAATAATAATAAAGTATTTTTATTATAAATTGTTTGTAAGATTTGAACTTATCTCAAACGAGAAAAAGCTTCTGTTCTGTTGTAATTATATCTGAGGTTAGATTAATTAAAACGTATTTTTTACTTCTGAACCGATATTTGCTATCGGCTCTCAAACTGAATAGTTTCTATAAAAATATTTAATAATTTTTTTATACTCTATACACAATACTAAAATTCATAACTTGAGCTTCGTATCTAATACTGGATTCTCAAGATAGTTTTGCTTGTAATTTTAGCTTAGATTACTCCAGATAGAATGTAGCACAAAAAGCTCCAAACCCCCAAAACGAATTATATTCCTATTCCTTTTATAATTCTCAATCTAGTTCCTTAACGCTTATATTCTTGTGTAGTATTATTATGTTATATTCTAGGTATTTTATTTTTTTTAGTCTCCTAACTCAGGCTTCAAATACAAAACTCAAGTATCCATATTAGTTATCTTTAAGGATCTCGTTTTTCAAGGTTTTGCAAGAAAAGTCTTTTTCACTATTTTTTTTAGTAACTTACACTACATCATCATTACAAAGTTACTAAACATTCAGCATCAGTTTTAGTATCAGTCTGTTACGAGATTTTTTTTTTAATTAGATTCAAATAAGCTAAGCTCGTCTGGGAATTTTTGTTTTTAAAAATTTACTAGTCTTTAATAAGATTTTTTCTTTAAGCTATGAGAAATTTTATATTTCCGAATAATTTTTTATCTGTAATAAGAATCTCTTTTCGTTTGAGCGATGACAAATTAGACTTAAATAGGCTAAATCGTCTAGAATTTTTTTATATATTTTATAATATTTTTTTATATTTTTATAATATTTTTTTATATTGTTGTATTTTTTT